CTTCATATAATTTATTCAAGAGAAATTTAAAACATTCACAATAACATGAAAAGGCACACTGAGATTTTTATAGTTTTCAAAAGAGCTGGACCTTGTAAATCAGGGAACGCCTTGATGGAGCGTATGAATAAAAGAGGATCTCCCCTGCTAAATACAAATTTCTTAGACAAAGGAACTTCTTTCTTCAGTTACTTAGGAAATAACCTTAACTTCGTTTTCTTCAGTAATACTGGCTTTACGACTATTAGGAAAATAGTGAAATGAAAGATTCTTTTTCTGTTAGATTTGGATGTGAATTTTCATAATTATTTTAAATTTGTTATGGTGAAGATTTAAAACTTATGACCATTCAATGAGTTGAGACAGATGGAATGTCACATTATCATCACATGGTAAAGCATGAAATTTATTTACTTTACATAGTCAACCTCTACTTAAAACAACTTGATACAGATATTCTTTAGTCAATAGATGCCATTATATAGTACTTAAGTGTTTTCATTTTTTCTGGCAATATTAAAAAATACCATCATTGTTTGTCTATGACTAGTACTTCCAATAAACAAAATGTTTTTGAAAAGAATGTAAGCAAATTGTAGAGCAATTGCCAAGATATGAAATCTAGACATTTAGCTTCAGTCCAAAACATATTTTATCTGTTTTGAAAATAATTGTGTAGGTTGCAGTATGCATATTTTAAATGAAATGTAACCATCTGAACTTTACATTGTTCAAAAAGTTGATTGTTTCAGCTGTTTATAATAGAAAATATTTCAGAGTTTCTAGCTCTGTTCTTTAAAAAAAGCATACACTATAATGTTCCTGTTTTCTTTAGCTAACTTAGTGTGTTATTTCATTGTAAAATTCATCTTGGTTATAGGATTTTAAAGTTATCAAATTCTTAGACTACAGGACAAATTTTAAACTCCCTCTCTATTCTAAGACTCTAAAATAATTTGATACTGCCTTTTCATTCCAACCACCCACTAAAGTATTTTTAAACATAAAAATATGTTGATCTTTACCCCACTCAGACTTGAAAAAGTATTCATCATATCAGCTAAATAATTTTACTCCCAGAAGATTACTAACCTTTTGGTTTTTTCTATTTTATCTTAACATTAAACAGTATATTTTTTCAAACAGATACTTCAATTTTAAAAGCACTGAGGTTTGAATTTTAGACATGATGAGTTTTAGGAGAAACAACAAAAATTCCACCTTATGCTTTAACATTCTAGGTTTATCTGGAGATAAAAAATGTAGCTATTAATTTTGGTAGTACAAATATACATTAATGTACAACTGTAGTCCTCAGCTCTTTATAAGCATTCAGCTGTCATGTATGCTGTACGTGGGTCATACCTTTCCTATTAATAATGTTAATGCTCTTGTTTTACAGTATTTATCATTGTTTTGGGGATTCATTTCAACTGCTAAAAATGCTTACTTGAGATTTGTCTAGGATTTAAGTAAAAGCAAACTGTTTATTACTTTTCACAGCCTTTTTAATAATTTCTTCCATGATTTAAATGTTTTAATACTTTACTAGAAGTATGATAATTTTTCTTTTAAATAAAATCGGTAAAAAAATTTTAAAACTATAGATTTGGGCTCACTTAATAGCAATTATGCGTTTAAGAGGTGTAAATAACTTGCTATCAGACATTACAAATATCCAGGTGCTCTGTATGTGCTGATGACAACAAAATTGAAAAGAAAGACTGTAATAATTCTGACTGGTTTTCTCTGCAGAAGATATTGATTATTTGTGTGTGGTGAGAGATTTGGAAAATTCAATTAAAGGAGTTGTGCAAAGGTTTCATAAATTTTCCTTCTACAGCGTGTACACAGACATTGTTGCGTATTAAATCAATGCAACACTTCACAATATATTTTCTTTGAAACATAAAAATAAATAACATTTAAACAGTTCTGCTTACTACAGAAACAAATTTTATTTTCTGTGAAGCATTTAGTCATGTGCTATCACTGACTCATACACATTTGCCAGCTGTAACAAATTTTATAGACATTTTCCCCGGAGACATATCTCACATACTATGAATTTTTAAATGAGCAAATGGTGAAGAAGGGATGTCAGCAATATAAAAATTGATCAGTTAAAAGATAAAAGCATAAGTAAAGAGATTTGTATGGTAGTCTTAATAGGTTTTATTAAATAAAAATACTATAAAAAGACAGTAATGAATAGACTGAAGACTAACTGTTCTTGAGATGGAGAAAAATTATTCTGGCACATTTAGTAGAAATTGGCTTTATGTCACCTGACAGGTGAACTTTTTTCCATTTTAACTCTTAGTCAAAAAAGCCCCACAAAAAAGAGTTGAATAAATTCTCTAAGTGGTTTATATATTTTAAACACATATGTAATAGAGCAGAGATGTTTATAGTGTTAGATAGCTACTTATACAGTTAAAAGCAGGACTTGAGTAATTATTAAATATTAGGTGATTTCTCCTCTAGCTCAGACCTCAGATAGGAGGAGGGTGGTCATTTTTATTCATACTTTTTACACCATATACTTTAGCCCTCTGGAATCTCTCTTTCAGGACTCCAGGCCTCTCTGCTGCTTTTCCCTCTACCTAGATTGCTCTTTCTTCCTTCTCTGTCTAGCAAACTACTGCTCATCTTTTAAGGTCTGTCTCAGATGTCACATCCTCTGAAGCTCTCCCCAGCTCTCCTAGGTAAAGCTAAATTGCTTCATCTTCTAGGCTGCTACAACACTTGTCTGAATTTTTATAAATGTATAATGTTGTAGTGCATTGTAACTGTCTGGTTACAGGACTCTTTCTGGGCCCCTCTTTGGCAAACAAACAAACAAGTCTTATCTCTGTACTGTAGCCCCAGAGCCTAGTACAGAACCTGAAAAGAAGGACCACAATACAGTGCAATGGATGTGTGAATTAATGACAACAAATGGCCACTCTAAGAATTTTTAAATGTTTTCAAAAACTTATAAATTGCTATCTCCTTACACACCTCATTAATGTTTATTGAATGCCTACTATGAACCAGGCATTGTTCTAGCGTTGGGGATACACTGATATCAAGGCAGATATAGTCCTGCCCTCAGGAGTATAGAATCAGCATAAATGACAAGTAATTATAACACACCGTAAAAAGTATACTAACAATGGTATTAAGCAGGCATCATACTAATAAATGTCTTGGCAGTTTTCATAACAGATTTTAAAATGTACATTCTGAAATCGAATCAGGCTAACCAACAGAATATTGAAATGAGAATTTGTAGCCCCCAAACTGCTATTTATTAATATAATGTAAAATAAAACTTTAGGTTATTTTAATTTCAGTTTGATTTAACATTTATTGTGTATCATATACTGTGACAAGTTACTTTGAACTATTTTGTGAAAAAAAATCTTTCTTCTTTCATACAGAATGTCGTCTTGACAGCTATGAATTCCTTAAAGCCATTTTAAACTGAGGTACTGTTTTACCTTTCTAATTCAGTTTAACCTTGTTAAATTTCACTCTGTTCAGATAGAAACATTTTACTTACATTATCAGATTTGGTGCTTTCGGTAAGGAAATAGGGGCATTAGCTTTGGAGCTTTAGTTGAAATTATATTTCATCTCTTCTTATAAACAACAGGAGGGCACAAGATCTGTGAGTTAGAGGCTGATTAAAAAACAACAGCGTCGAGCTGACTAGGCTAGCTGTAAAAGTCAGAGAGGACGCATTTTTAACTGAGTGTAAAGAAGGCCCTTAATTGAGCACCTTTTGTATAAATAGCTAAATAGATACCAGGTAGGTTATAATTTCTATATGACATATCTGACTGAACAAGATATAACAAATCTGTTCAATTTTGAAATGTGCTAAATTAAGTAAATAATTATGTATTAATTAGTTATACCTTTAACAAAACAATTCCTATTGATTCAACAATAGAAGTAAAAATTACACATTTATAAACAGCTTATTATATAATAACATATACACTAGAAGCAATATGAGTCATGAGGTGGTGTGAGTGCTTAGTGTACCTATAACTGAACATTCACATTAAGAACTGGCATGATCCCAGACTTCATGGCCTCAGTATTAATTAAGATTCTTAGAAGCTAACCAGGTATTGCCTGCTGCCTGTTAGAGAAAAAAAATTAAAGCAAAATAAAAGAATTATATTTTTATCACCAAAATACTTTGCTTTGGAAATGGTGTCTCAAGAAACAAGCCATTCTTAAAATATTGCAACGATCTTATATAGAAAATTGTGTCACTTTCATTCCTTAAAATGTTCATTCTGTTGTATACAATAAATAATAGCTTATAATAACAGCTAACATTGAGCACTTTCTATGTGTCAGTGTTATAAGTGCTTTGTTCATATCCCATTTAATCTTCACAACAACTTGTGAGGTTGATACAGTTATTATCTTTATTTTATAGGTGAGGAAACTGAGGCACAAAAAGGCTAATTACCTTGTCCCAGAATTACCTAACAGACACAGCCAGGATACTAAGCTAAGTAGTCTG